TGGTCTGTTGCCGTGGCTAGTGATTAGAAAAAGTTTGTCATGCACCATGCCGATTGTTTTGGCTGCATGTGGACATATCACCAGCATCACCATTTTTCGGATGAAGGCTACTTTGCCGTGTTTGGTCATTGGTGTCGGGTTTTGGTTGCTTAAGTGCAATTGCATCTTCTCTGGGAGAGAGATGATCCAGCAGAAGAAATCCAGCTCTCATGTCTTGTGAGGACTGATCACAAGAGCTTTTTAACCCTGAGTCCCAGAGGTCAACAGAACGAGAGAAGCACAGGAGGGGGATTCTTTCAGGGCCTTCCGAGCTTTTGTGAACTTTTGCGGGACACAAAAGTGCCCACGAGGTCTATTTTGGCTTGGATTGGCAAAACTGAGCTGGGCGTTTGAACATATGAGTAGTGTTCTTTTTGCAGCTATGCCCCAAAATTGATCCGCCCTCGGGGTCCTCCTTCGGCAAAAGATTCCTGAAATCATGCATCCCAACGCATTGGAAGCATCACCAAAATAGCAGTCTGTCGTTTGCCTGTCTCGCTGCAAAAGACTTGCCATGTAGCTTGCAATGTTGTTGCGAGTTCCGATCTTGCCGGTTGGTTGTGTCACGAGTGAGATGCTCGTCTCCTTGCCTTCCTAGGCGAACTGACACTATCGGATGAGCAGTCGCAGTGCCTTGGATGCAAAAACATGGTGGCCCCGTCACCGCCGTAGGCCTTTGTTTTTGAGCAACTGCAGGGCCACTGGGGGGGAAGATATGCATTTGACAACCGGGCTAGTAGTAAAAAGGGCATCGCTACTAGAAACAAGGAAGCTACTAGGAGCAAAGAGCATCGCTACTAGGAGCAAAGGACGCTACTAGGAGCAAGAATGCTACTAGTCATGCACTTTTTATCAAACCACCAAGAGTTGGCCCGATGTCGTTGCACTAGGCATGAAAGTTACTGTAGCACCTTTACATTTTCACTCTAAATAAACAGCATTGTTTGTTACGTTGAATCAGGGCAACCGTTTTATTCCTCGAACTTGTTCACAGTTCCTTTTGGCATGTTTGGACCATAACTTCCTTTTGCTTTGGAATCTAATTTTTGCACTTGTCGGTGATAGTGTGTTTGATATAGGACATGCTTGCACGGGGGGTGGGGGGGTGGAGTTGAAAACCAAAAACACCGAGTTTTTAAAACAACATATGTCCCAACTTTCAGAAGATCCTTGTAGAGGAAGGATCGAAGAGGGGGGGTAGAGGACGCTACTAGGAGCAAAGGGCATCGCTACTAGGAGCAAGAAGCTGGCTCCTGGCCTTACTACTAGGAGCAAGGAACCAGAAGCGAGGGCCGGCAGGTCCCAGACGCCCAGTCGGTCCCTGAGGTTCGGCTTGTTAGATGAAGGCACCTGCATCTCCGAAGGCTATACTGAATCAATGGGCAAGCAGAGCCTTGGCAGTCTAAAAAGGCTGAAGACGATCCACGTTACATCTGAATGCAAGAAGATTGACATACCAGGATTCATTATATTCATGTTATTCTCCAAAAACACTGTCAGTACACAGCTCTTGGCATGTGCTCAGGCCAATGCGATCCCCACCGCAATTAATTGAGCATGGAACAAACTTTGGTCGCGCATCCTTCTATAGCATATTAGATAGTGTGTCAACCGCGTCGAGAGGGCGTTTGATGATTGACGTTGCTGTTTGCAAATCTTGTGATTATCTTCGCATCCCAGGGAGATCCCTGGCCTCGAGAGTGCAGACATTGCGCTCTACCGCAAGGTCCACAGCATTTTTGGACAGACAAGTCTATTGATTCGGATTGATATAAGTTCCAGACCTAGGGTTAGAGGTTGTCCCTGCTCTTGTCCTGGTCATTGACGAAGAGCCTCCTGTGTGGGATCCAGTTCCTTTTAATCCAGATTGTCCCCGCCCCGGGCATCCACAGTGGCTCAAGTATCTCAAGTAATTTTCTCTGGTCAACATCCCACCCGTCATCGTGCGCTTGAATACATTTGCCGGGAGTAAGAGACAGTCAAGGCCAAGGCAGAGAAGGCCTTCTAGCAGCATGAGCTAGTAAATAAACTGTAGTAAAGTAGGGGTCGGATTACAGTTTTCATCTACCTTCGCTGCATTTCGCTGCCAGGCCGGGGATTTGGACCTTGTGGACGCGATGCACATGCTCTTTGCAGCGCTGACACAGGACGATCAATTGCTGATTAATCTCAGGCCGAGCCCTGATACAGGATTGCGGTAGCTGAGTGGTGAAGATATGTGAAGATCCAGGAACATTTAGGACCTGGACCTCCAACGCTTCTCATTGCACAATGATTACCGGACTCCGGATCTCATTCGGACATCAGAAGCCCATCAACGCGTCTAATCGAGGACACAGTGGCCTTGTACAAAGTGGTGGGGGAGGTCTGCAGCGAAGCTTCTGTGGACAGGACAGCCAAACCAGAGTGATGCCAACTGCTTGACGTCACTTGTTTCTTGATTTTGACGTTTAAAGCATGGGTTCTGGTAGTTAAGCACCAAACTGGATGTACGATGCACGAGAGGTGATAGAAGTTCTTATTGATAGAGCTGAGCTTTCACTCCATACAATCCGCCCGCAAAACCGAGTCTCAAACACCATTCTACCAGATTTGAATCTTCAGAAAGTTGTGGGCGAGAAGTCCCTTCTTGGTTTTGCCCACTCATCTAGGAAGTTCGTGCAGCCTTTGATGGCCATGTCTTTTGCAGAGGGCTCTTGCCAGGACGGTTGGTGGGATTTTTTGAAGTGGAACTGCTGTGTCGGTCGAACTCGATGCAAACAAATAAATCGAGATGACATGCCATGCTCATTCTGTGACGGCAACTTAAGATTGAGGCACCTGGACTCACGAAGATGACATAGTGTTTTCCAACCTATATAGTGAATGACAAGGTACTTATCAGCTGATGGTCAATAACCTCATCCCGGATCCCTTCGTTGTTTCAACAGCCACAGCCCTTTGTTACGCTTGTGTGAGCGCTTGTGAATGGGAACCTTCCACAGGGGCATTTTGGGCTGCAGAGGAGAATGGTTTTACGGAGCCCTCTGGAAGCCAATCCTTCAACATTTTCGTCACAGATGTGCAGCTGGCGCTCTATCGCAAGGCGCGCACAATATTGCGCTGAAGCCTGTTTGATTTCTTCGTGGGACACTTCAAAACCTTTGGCTTTGGTGAGGATTGTGTGCGTGTGGGGCTCGAAAGATAGAACGGTTTGCCCCGAGGACACTGTCAAGGGCAGTTTCAATCCCTGTAAGCCCACTGAAACACCTGTTTTTGGGAAGAGTGTAATGCCCTAGTTACTAGCACTGTAGCGATGCCCTTGTTGCTAGTAGTGATGTACTTGTTACTTGTACGATGCACATGTTATATGTGTTGCTGTTTTGCTATTGTATTCGGCGAACTATGCAGTTGTGCTCGTAGCCAAGTCAACATGCTCCATGAATAGAATAACAATTGCTTCATAAGGGAGAACCTGTACTGTAGGCGTTGCAGCAGGGCACTTGGCAGGGGCGTTTGGCTTAGAGAAACCGACTAATCGTGGAGGCCGGTGGCTTGGCCTTCCACATCTGAGCGTCTTGACACGCTCGACTTTGCATCTTCCCCACGCTGCATGAGACAGCGTGTCGCTCCTAGTAGCTTCTTGCTCCTAGTAGCGATGCCAGGAGTCCCTAGTAGCTTCTTGTTACTAGTCGCTCCGCTTGAAAGGTCGGTTAAAGACAGCGCCCTTGGTTGAAACCCTGCAGGGCTTGGAGGCGATCGCTATGAGGTTGGAGGCCATCTCTTTTAGGGTGGAGGTCATTGCTCTCTCCATGTAGGGTTTTTGTTCCAATAGCTTGCTCAGCTGAGTGCTTGTTACTGGGCGCTGTCATTCTGGAAGACTTGCGAGTCCACTTTGGTTTTGCTTTATGCGTGGCCTTGACTTGAAATATAAAAGTGAGCACTGGTGTTAGAGAGAAGTAGTTCCTGGACCATTTCCTTGGACTTAGCTCGGGGTTTTGCAACGTGTTTCACGGTTTCTGCCAGCACCGGGCACGCCTGAAGAGAAAAGGTCCGTAAGCCGCGATCTGACCATACAGTAGATTCACGTTCGGTGGACCAACAAGACATAGCTCGTACGGATTTGACTTCGTTGTCGACGTTGTGAGTGATACAGATGGACAGGCAGACTTTTATGATACAGTATGTGACAATGTGTGTTTATATTTTTAATGGCTTAAAGGTTGCGCGCATACTTTTGGATGCTAGCCCTAACCCTCACCCTTCTGGTTCTAGTTCTCATGCAGCTGAGCCTTGCTTGTGGTTGTGAAGTGGCACCTGCATTGATTGAAATCCTCACCTTCCCACCCCATATTCATTGCCCAAGTGCAATGTAAGGTGTGACTGCATGGGTCTGCCACTCTTTGGACCAGTGGCAACCCATGCTTGTGCAGCTATCCCTGACCAAGAACAAGGGTGCGCCCGGTACAGACGTTGGGTGGGGTCACTAGAACTAGTTGGGTTGAGGGTTGAACACAGGATTTGCGTAGGACTCGACTCAACAACTGTGCTTATCTGCCGGCCGCGAGCCTCAGCTGGTGAAGAAAGCCTCATGAGACAGCCGATATGTCATGGCAAATGCAATTGCACACTACATGTTCGTCCAGGTGGATAGCTAAAGCAGCTTTGAGTACTGATATGATCTCCTCAGTACCCCATCCTTAACTATGGAGAATGCCTTTCACAGTTTTTTTGCATTTCCGGACAGCTTCTCTGCTAGGGGTTCCGGTGCAAATTTTTTATGGTGGGCAGTCTTACTAGAAGACTTAGCAGACTTAGCAATTCTACATTAGGTTATGATTTTCAACTTTCAACAAGTGCACTCCTCAATCCCTCGTTGTGCAACTCTGGCAATGGCCAGTGAAAGTGATAAAAAGGTGCCGAGCACAGCAGAGTCCGCTTTCATTTCGAGCTCCATTTTCCAGGGATTTGCCAGTTTGAAGTCCTTCTCCACAATTCCTCAGCAATATGATACCCTTAGCCGCTTAGATACGCTTAGGACATATATAGAGGACGTAGAATTTTGCAAACAGAGGTGCGGACTGGCACTGGATGAGTGGATGATATCTCCATGTCGAGGCTGTTGCATAGCAACTACGCTTATTTAGGTTGATCATTGTGTGCTGGGTGGGTTAAATTTCAGACGTACCACTCGATTGGCCCCTTCATGTACCTGAGTGGCCAGTGCCTTCTTGTGGCACTCAGATGGCTCAATCAATCCATTTCGGCGTATACAACTCGAAGAATCTCGGCCTCAGGTGCCTGTGAGTGAGACAAGCTCCGGGCGTAGCAGGCATCGGGATGGGCGGGGGGGAGCTGTGGGATTTGGACCCATGGATTCCTTTCTTGATTGCGATGCTGTGACATGGACACGACATGTACCCGCACAGAGAAGGGATGCAAGCTGAGCATCATTTATTTTGTTTCCGATGATATTTCCAGACCCTTGATTTCAGGTGGCTTGACGGTACAAATGCAGGGTGCTCAACTGATTCGAAGGATCACACACGTCAGAGTGCCCCAGCCACGGTGGGAACTCCGTATGAGTGGCAATCATTTGCTCATGTTAATCTCTTGTTACACTGCATTTGCATTTGTAACTCTACATACAGTTTGTGTGTTTGTGTTTGTGTGTGTGTGTGAGCATGTTGATTCCAACTCAAGAATGCATGTTCAGCTGTTGAATGTAGTTGTTTGCGTAAGATCCATACTTCATCATTGAAGACCCCAGTTACTCAAGTTGCACTCAAGTCAAACCGACAAGCTATTCAAGCTGGATAAGTGAATGCAGATACACATACGAACGGATGCCTGCAAACGTTTGCTGGAACGGATGCTAGTGGGACAGTTTTTCAAAACAGTTTCATGGGCCAATCTCTTCACCCCAACCCCCGCAACTAGATCAACTCGTTGACCCCAAGGTGAAAGCGGGCACGCAGGAAGAACCTTCTGAGGCCGGAGAGATCAGAGAGATCAGAGAAGGAGCTTTCCAAAGCTCTTCAACCTACAAGCAATGGCCTCCAACCAAATAGCATTCCAATTCCATGATACCTGGTGAACCTGGTATTTTGTCTCCCACATCCACCTGCCCGGCTCGGAAAAGGTGCCGGTGAAAGCAAAGCCAAAAGTTCCACCTCAAGGCATGCGATGGCATGCGCCGTGAACATCCGTGAACTGTCACCGCTTGGTGTGAAGAACATTTTCGACCTTGAAAGATCCTGGGTTTAGTCCGGCAGAGAAGTGAAGCAACGTGGATGAGATCCTGTGTCATGGTTGATCTCTTTCCAACATGGGATTGGGGTTTAACATGGTGCAACCACATGTAAACACCAGGACGTTCACTCGTTTGCTGGGAGATGCGAAGAGACTCTCGCCGGATGCAGAGTTTTGGATTTCATGCGAGGCTTGGCAGCAGATCCATGGGAGGCATGAAACTTCTGGCTGTTTGCTGGAGTCACTTGGGTTGCGAATCGGTCTGATGGTGAGAGATTCTTCAGGATCTCATTCACTGATGCTTTATTGGACCACGGGTCCTTTTACGGGTGAGCAAGAGTGCAGGCTGAGTTTGGGAGAGCCTGGGGACAGCATGGCACATGAAGTAGTAGCCCGCCCATTTACCCTTTTGCAAAAGACTGGATTCATGGTCTAACTCTTGATCCCAACAGGGACGGTGGTCATGAATGTAATCAATTCCCGTCGAAACATTCACACTGACAGGGCCAGCAACTTCGAGCCGAACCCCAACTTGAACAAGGCTTTGAGCGCCAGAGTGCAGGGAGAAGTGTTATTTTCCCAACAAGCTCGGTGCAGATCAAAGTATCCTCAGTGTCACACCCCGAACCAAAGTATGCAAGCGACCGGGCGAGACTGATTCGTGTGCTTTGGTTCCTGGAGGTGGCTTGAAACAAACTCGAAGGAAACAGCTACTGCATCTCTTCCTTGTTTTGTGCATTCAACACCCAACGTTTGGCAATCACGTAATCCTCGAACTTGAAGGTGGCGAAGATCCATGGGCGAAGTACCACAATGCCAAGCCGCAATCGACTGAGGCAGGTTTTGTTTGTTTTTCCTTGAGCATTTTGCCCTTCACCTTTCACAGCAGGCAGAGTGGCCGTCGTCAACTTGCCGTCGAGGCTTGACCCGCAAGCCTTGCAAGGGAATCTGTCACATTCACAGACCAAGTGGAGTCCAGCTTCGTTTTCAGCCAGGATTCTCGGATGATGGCGAGAGGAGGTTCGCCAGAAAACTGATCTAGCTTTGAGGTCTCCACTGCATCCCATATCTAGGTTCGTGAGACAGACCATTGAAGGTATCACAGCCTCCGCAATGCTTGTTTTTGCTAGAAATCTAGGAACCCGAGCACTGTGCCCTTGCTAGTAACTTCAAGTTTCTACCAGCTCAAGAACTAACAGACACATCAGACACATGTTTCTTTCCGATGCCTTTTTGATGTGGCATACTGGTGAGGGGCTTGAAGCCGTTTAAGAACTGCATAGCCAATACAAAAGCCACGGCATGTTATGAAGAGAGTGGTCAGGCTTTGTTAATCTTGTCATGTGCTTTTTCACTGGGCACTTCACAAACTCACTTGAATCTCCTCGACCACCGAGTGCTCCAGGTCTGTTCGGGATCCGCGGGATCCCAATGACATCCCTGTGATTTTCGGCCCGCGAAGCCCCTTTCGACGACCTCGTGGCTTATTTGGTCGGGAATCTGAGAAGATTTGCATGTTCGCATTCGAACGATTTGACGCGGCTCGCAGCGCATGCAATTTTGAGAGTGAACTTAGCTGCCTCAGCCATCATGACATCATTGCATTCTGCCAGCTGTGAGTGGGATCCCAGAACATCCTTGGCTCTAGTAGTATAAGGTAGCCTGCTAACAAGAGAATGTGAGACCACCCCATGTACATTACGAGGCAAGCTGATTTTTATGCTGTCCAATGATCTGTTTGAATTGAAGACCACCGATCTGCGAAGCTCGACGCCAGATGTGGATGAGAGGATATCTCATTGCCTCGAGCTCAGCCCGAGTAAGGTGTCGTGGCTGCTCAAGAATGCAATTCGTGTTGTGATTGATGCACTTTTCGGTTTGGGGCAAGCTACACGAGCTCAAAACAGTTGGAAGCCTTGCTGGGACGTTAATCGGACGTGGTTGAAACATATAACATCAGCGGCAGCGAGAGGATCAGAGACTCGAAGTTGCACATCAAAATGATTCAAAACTTGACTAATACCAATGGACCTAGATGGACCAATTGATTTCACATACCTTTGGTTTGGGCAGCTTTTGGTCAAGGTATGGCGAGATTTCTGCGCTATCGCTCCGTTGGTCCCTCAAATCAGCTCCACAGAGTGTTTGGAACACTGCAGACTGCCGATGCTACACTATTTTTCACCCTAATTGAAGTGTCCTCATCTCTTTTGTGAAGCCGTGGACATCAATGCACATCCGTCATGTTTTGGGGTACCGCCTCAGATACCCTTTTGATTCGGGTGTCCGTGCACTTGTGAGTCTAATGCGCGTTTCCCACAAAAGAATGCAAAAGAGGCATATTTGGGCAAGGATGATGACGGCTTTGTGGAGCTGCATGAAGCTCAGGGCAGTCCAAAGTATTGTGGAATTCCCCAGTTTCCATTGCAAACGACTGCATGTGAATGAACGCCCAAGTCAGTAAGCAACAGATAAATGTTGACAGTTGAGTTTTTGCATAAACCTTAAGCATTTTTAGGCAACTGTCAGCTTTTGACTTTTGTGACATTGTTTTTGGTCATGATTCTCTAACCCGGGTTGGGTCAAACTCCGGAAATTCAACGTTGCAACTGAAATTGTCATGACATTGCAAGAGTTGCAAGCAAGCTTTTGATTTTTCGATGTCCCTCTTGCTTGGCCGGAATGATGCCCTGCTCTTAAGGCCATCGCTCCTAGAGGAAGTGGCAGGAGACCTGCCAGGCACCACTGCAGAAGACCTGCATCGTGTTGCCCTAAGCAGCGCCAGCAGGCCTGTACTTCCGCGTGTCCACGAGTCTACCCTAATAGCGATGGCCTCCAACCTATAGCCAATAGTTCTCAATAATTAAACTGTAGAGCTTTTGTATTGACGCTGGCGATTTGCACGATCAAACTCCTGTTCTGCAAGTGCATTTAGGCGTAATTTTTTCAGACGGCCTTCTCATATCATCAGACTCAATAACGGGCAATTTTCGATGCAAGGAACGTGGTAACATAGACGGCCCGAATGTGAAGACTGTCATCAAAGTTTGTCCTTCACCTGTCAGGTTGGGCAGGCGATTTGACACGCGAGAAATCCAGTCAGCAGATGGCAAGGTGCGCTCGACCAGAAATCACCTTGGTGTCAGTGTGAAGGCAATTGAAGATCGACGAGCAGTTTAGCTGGTTCAGTTCAGCTGTTCGACCGGCAGAACAAATTCCAAAAACGGCATCATGAGCTCACTTGTTAGCTATCCCAACATCACATGCAAATTTTCAAATGCGCCCCGAACTACCTCTTGCAGCCTCAGGTGCTCACTTTGGTTCGAGCAGCTTATCGACATATGGAGGGGGTCTGGGTCTGGGGTTGGAATGCTGGTCATCGAGACTCAAACTGCACGTGACCATTGCCTTGAGACATGCGCAAGAGTTGGTGCAGGGAGAATCCGAGATACATTTGTAATCATTTGGATACATATAGAGTTCAACCTGCTGCATGTTCTCTTGACATGCACCAAACCATAGCAAACCCACCAGAGCTGCTGGGCTTCACGCAACTCTCCAGGACGATGCGCCGTTTTCAAGAGGAGCAAGGGTGTGTCGAAATATGTACCGATGCAAGTGAGAGGTGGTTTTCCAAGGCATCCTAGATCATGGCCAGGAATCTGCAGATCATCAGATCTATTCATGGCTGGGTGGAATTGTTGTGCTGTGCGATCTGACAGACTATTGGATATTAGGATCAAAAAAGGACGCAACGTTGACAAATTGGTTCCACCCTCAACATCTCGCTGTTTGCGTTTAGTGGCTCGCTCGTGTTGTTTTCTGGGCTATCTTCAGGAGGACGTCGCAGGGACATGTTCAGGCGGGAATGGACACGTTGCGCCTTAGCAGGGGGTTGTAGGAAATACTTTTGCAGGACCACAGTCCCTTCACTAGCGCCCCATGAAAGCCTTGTGTTCTACCACATGCACGCTTCTGGGAGTTCTTATGATTCTAGCGCTGGTGCTACAACAGAGCCTTCATCACGGATCTTCAAGGCATGTTTCTTTCCTGGAACCGGGCCAACCCGCAAATCCTTTACATCGTACCACAGGCAACCTGCTGGGTTCCGATCTCAGGGCGAGGAGATTTCAGATATTCAAGGACTTATAATGCGTTGGCCCCAAAAAAACAACCCATCAAGAATCAATGGCTTCCTCGAAGTCCAAAGTTTTCTTTAAGCTAAGTTGCTGCGAACCTGTGTTTGCTGCGCAACATGACTGATCATGCAGCCTTTGTTAGCAAAACATACTGCATATGTATCAGGTAGAGCATTCGAGTAAGTACTAAAGCTACAATCGATTGTGGGAAGAAATTGCTTTGTGCATTCGTTAATTTTTGTAGCCAATACAAATCAACATTGAGAGTAGAAAGGACTGAACACTCAATGTTTGGCTGCTGAGAGTTGAGTATGTTGAATTGTTGGTTTAGGTCTTGGTTGAGCCCAACTGCACAGGAGGCCGTGTAAACCAAGCTCCGTCGCTCTCATTGTTGGGTGATTGAAGCCTTATTTAAGATCTAAGAGGTTCGTTTGCCGTGAGATCAATGCAGCAGCCTCGCTCGAAGTACTTGGTTCATTTGTCCTTCTCAAAAGTAATCACCATCTGTATGGCCGTGCCAAACCCGCACATCCTATTATATGACTCAGCCCTTTTCACAGGCCAAATTTGTGCTGACATTGACTGTGCAGACTTGGATATGATTTGCATTGGCATCATGTGACACAGAATAAGACCAGTAAGCTCGGTAGATACCTCCACTCACCCGGTTTGGCGTTTAAGGCATGAAGCCAACGAGGCCACTCACCAATTTTGTTCAGACCTATTCCAAGCCTCCAATGAACCCCCAAACGAAGCATTGCCAAGCGCTCTGGAAACGCTTTGCGAGCGCACTGCTCCATGTGGTCCGCAGGTCAAGCGAGACAGGGGACACTTCGTCATGTCATCGCCCAGAGAGAGAAAGGAGGAGGGATGTCATATATGACATGTGCACCGTTGACTCCTTGTGTGTGCCGCGTTTTACAATCCTTTCTGGCCGATTTTTGCCTTTCATGGCTTTGCACCCATTTGCAAACGTGCCTGGCAGTTTGACGTGCAATGGGTGCCCCGAGTCTTGCATGGCAATCCAGACTTGTTCCAGGACAGAGACATCCACTATGAGATTGAAGCACCCACCCCAGCACTGGTGCATTCATTGATTCATTGTGTGAAGTCCTGTGCCCCATGACATACTGGCTCACATTCCAATTGATTGTTTAATCAATTTTAATCCATTTATTCTCACACAACCCAACTCCATAGTCGAATGAAGTCAAGTACTGACGCCTTTAAATAGAGCATTTGAGGGACCTTTCCATCTCCTATTTTGCCTGCCATTGTGGAGCGGTGTTACAAGACTTAACAGTCAAAATACCATCGGACCATCGACAACTCGACGGATTGCCGGTCTAGTGCCCGCTTTCAGTGTTCATGTTTCTTGATGGCTGGGCCGGGCTGCAGGCCCTGTGTAAAACTTGGGTGAACACACGCATTCCCTGCCAGAGCCATTTCGAGGATCAGTTTGCAGCACTGCAAGCAGGCCGCGTTCGGTGAGAAGTGACATTTGGAAATAGTGATCAGCAGTGAATGGTTTTTCGTACAAACTCTGCCTTCTTGGTGTCTCCTCAAGTGGGAAGTCTGTGGAGCTTCATTGACAAGCCCCCCAACACACCATGAAGTTATAGTTCTTGGGCCTCCAATTGGAAAGGCAAATTTGCATCGTTCCAAGGTCAGCCACGAGTCATAGCCGTCATAGCTCCTGAAGGTCATTTTGCAATTTTTATTGCGGTAATTGCGCTTGTTCCCCATTTTTGTGGTGAAGAGCTGTGACAGAATCTCTCAAGGACATTGATGTCTAGCCGTCTAGCCTATCAAAAGAGAATCCATGGCTGTTTGCTTGAGTTATTCGACTACAGTTGGCCTTTATTTTGCTGTGCTACTAGACCAATTCTCCTCAGATTCGCCCTATGCTGATGTCGCGAAGGCGTGAGTGCTCCATGGCTTTTGTGCATTTAGAACGTTTAGAACGGTACTAGGGGCTCCTAGCACCGCTACTAGGAGCAAGAACGCTACTAGGATTCGGATCCAAAGAACAACGTTGACCTGCGTTAATTAATACAATCTAAATTATCATTCTAATTCTTGTTTCTAATCGCTTCTTGTTCCTAGTAGCGATGCCAGGAGCCCCTAGTAGCGAACATTGTTCCTAGTAGATCCAGATCCAAAGAACCACGCTGACCTAGCTTCAACATTTGTTTCGTGTCACATGGTACCCATTTGAGTTCTGTGCTGGAATTGCAACTGGCTGGAACACGCAAGCCGTTAGCATATCGGGTGACTCAGCACGGGAACTTGATGCGACATAAGACCATTGAGCAATTTGGTTACAGGGATATAAAGAGGAGTAGTAGTTCTCAAAATTTGATTCCCTTTGACTGTATTTGCAAACTATTCTGTCGTAGTGGTGCGTATATAATTAGGCCGATTCTTGAAAGGACCTGAATAGCCTGAGCTTTTGTCAGTGTGCACTGTCCCTGCGAGGCACACGCGAGTAAGTCAGATGCGCCAGGAGCCACACAAGACTACAAGCAACTTTTGACGATGACTGTTTTTGCGGAACTAGGAACCATGTTCGCTACTAGGGGTCCTGGCATCGCTACTAGGAGCAAGGATGCTACTAGGGGCTCCTGGCCTTACTACTGACGAGACTTGCGCACTGCGTCCGCGCTTCCCACGGCCCTTCACCGTGTTGGTGGGTACCAGGGAGTGTGGTGAGATGTCAGGGTGTATGTACCAAATAGAAAAAGCTATACAGAAAAGACCTTGAAGCCGTGCTAACTAAGTGAAACCGAATGTCCGCGCTGCACTTAGAATGGCTTTTGGGAACTAATTACGAATTATGGGCAGGTGGTATCAAGACCAGATCTAAGTCGCCCTTTTTATGCCAGGTTTGGCGCAAGTTACGACGATACAAAAAGCGCTCTTCGAATGCCAGGCTGTCTGCAACAGGGGCCAGAAAATGAGATTGAGCATATTGCATCTGGCCTTACTACTAGGAACAAGAAGCTATTAGAAACAAGAAGCTATTATAATATAGAATTTAAGTAGAATTGGCACACTGGACATATTCCATGATACTCGGTCCTGCACACCAACTGCCCAGTGTTAACTTAGATACGGTTAGATATTTGTGCACAGATCCAATCGACCGTGAGACAACTGTCATGTTTGATCCTTTGTTTCTTCCTTTGTTTCCTTCTCCAATTCGCACACACTTGTGTGTACATGCATTTGTTACATGCATGGTATGCTGTCAGTGGTAAGCACCAAGGCACTGCCTTCCGCCTTTTCAGAAAAGAATCACCAAGGTCTGCATCCACAGAAGCTACCTCGTCATCACAAGAGGAGGCGAGGATGGCACTGGTGGCCGCATTGTTGGGGTGATGCAGTTCCAACTTCCGATTGGCCACTTGTCATTGATTTGTTGTTCATCAAGGCCCCTTGCTCATGTCCATCTCAGCAACACCTGACAGAGTCAGATAGTCAGATAGATGACAGAGAGCCTTGAGGCTTGCTGTTCAGCTTGGCCTGTTCAGGTTTGGGAACGTTTTCTTGAGCCGGTGACGTTGAGACCTTGGTTCTGGAACCCCAAGACCGAGGAGGTGCGACTTATCGTCGCCGCATGCACGAGAATCGCATTCTCAGTCTCCAAGGTGTCACAACAATGCACCGTGCACGCTTCCCTGACATGTTTGGCTCTAGCCTTTGGCAAGTGAAAGTTCACACCTGATCTCTAAGCACACTGTTAGCATGCTGCCCGATCTCTAACTCTAAGTGCAGCAATTTTATCTGCTTGCAGAACTGGCGGTTTCTTTGCATTCTGGATGACAGCTGCTTGTAAGAAAGCCATGCCACTGAACTGTTTATTGAGCTTGAATCAGCACCATGGAATCGGGAGTGCCTTCGTGGGTGGTGAAGGCACGTGAAAGTTGCATGAGCAGACAGAGTGCAGGATCCATACGAGCAGTCCCTGATTTGACAATATGCAAGCATAGTATCATCAAGGCACCAAAAAAGAGCAACAGGGGGTGTAGCAGTGTAGCAGTGCAGTCAATGTGACAGAATTCATGAGTGTATCGACTCCTAGACAACGGTTCTGAAATGTGTCTTTGCTCTGCCAGATCGGAACCAACAGGTCGGTGCTGCATCTCTCGGTGCAGTGGCCGTCTTAGCGCTTCTGAAGTATCGAAGCCAGCAGAGCGTGAAGGCCTGGGATAAGGTTTGGTTCGATGACAGGCCTTGTGGCTGGAAACGAGAGCCTTCACCGAAAAAATATCGAAACTAGACACAACTAGACTAGACTGGACCCAAGCTCTGTTTGGACACTTCCTGTTTCAATTCTAATTAAATTCTAATTGAATTTAGATCAATTTAAATTCTAATTCTATTGAATTCTTGTTTCGACTAGCTTCTTGTTCCTAGTAGTAAGGCCAGGAGCCCCTAGTAGCTTCCTTGCTCCTAGTAGCGATGCCCTTTGTTCCTAGTAGCTCTGTTTGGTATGAAGGGCTTGTCCTCCTCAGTTGTGGACCGCCGGTCGCCGTGGACCTTTGCAGCCGGACCTCGCTTCTTCAGGTGGCACCAGAGCCTACAGCCAGGCCTGCACTGGTGGAATAGGGACCAACCAACCACTGGGTTTTACGTTTTTATTTTTTGGTCTTCCCATGGGTCTTTGGAGGTTTCACTCTATTTCTATACGCATGCACTTTGAGGTGTGAGAAGTGGGAATGGAAGGCCTTGCTTATTCATGGGGAAACATCCAAAAATCATAGCTGGTATGACTTGTCCTGATTAAAAAGCTCTCTCAAAGCAGCAAAACGAGAGGTCTTCTCGGGCGCAGAAGGATCTTCCACCTGCAGGCCGCAGGCAGCTGTGCAGCAGGCTTCACCCGAGGATGTGGCACTGCAAGCAGCCAAGGCTGGAGCTCCAGGGCAGCCTGTTAGTTTGGATGATTGTAAGCGTGGTTGACTGGTTACTTTTTAAAGAGGAAATTTGGGACACCATAGAATCACATTTTTTTAAATACATAATCGGATTAATCGCCACAATTAGATTGGATGTTCATAACATTTTATAACATTCTATTAGGATCTATTATGTAGAATGTAGAGTATAGGCTTTTCATGGGATTAACGTGTCTATGTACACTATGTCGTGCTATGTCTACAGATTTGAAACACACGTCGATTATTTATATATATATATACAGTATATATGCCAACCACTCAGACTGCAGAGACCCACCGCTGCCGACGGGATAAAGCCTCCAGGCTGCCGGTCTCACAGGTGCGTTCCGTGAGTCAAAGGGTGTTCGATCCGATTCACGATTGAGGGACTAAACCAGTAATTATATCATTCCTTCCAGTCCCACCAGACAAGGCTTTACCAGAGACTTTTGGTTGAAGCACAAAGCATTGGAAGCCGGTTGGAATACCCTCCTTTTTTCTCTCTCCATCTCTCTCTCTCTCTCTCTGCCTGATTGCTGTAAATGAAGCTTGAGGCTTCAATAGCTGTCGAGAACATGCACTTGGAATATTTTGTGTTTCGGATGGGTTGGGAATGAAGCAACGAGAATCTTCACTGCAAGGACTCTCCTTCATCACTGTGACACAATTGCCAAATCCTACTTTATATTTTTGCTTGGGAGTCAATCTCCTCCAATATGTTATGGTAATTCACATTATGTTTTGTCACAATTCATCATTATCAGACTGATAGTACGAGTGCTGATGAGACGGAACATGCCCTATTTGATTTAGTGTTTTGGGTTCCCAGGTGTTGCCAGGTGTGTTTCTTCTGTCAAAATTCGGGAGAAGGGCCACAGTCAGGCCTAGCAGCACAGAAGGCCGCAGCCTTGGAAGTGGCTGGAAAGCCTCCTGGAGGCCCAGACAACAGCCTTTCTCTGGAGGAGGACAGTGTGTGTTGCCCGCGCAGGGGCCTTACCTGGAGTGCGTGAGGTGTATGCGATCTTGCACGCATGTTCTATTTGTTGTTTTTGTTGTAGCTTCGCGTGGTAAGGAAGGGAGGTCCATCCACATTTGGGTTGCAATAAGCAGTTGCAGGCACAGGAAAAGAGAAGGTAAGAGCTCCTTTAGTAATGCCCCATTTCAAGGGGCCCTTACCTTCATGTTTTCCTCTCCACAAGTATTTTGTCAGAAAAGCTCACTTACTTCCAACAACTGAGTGGATACCAAGAAACACAGAAACACCTCCAAACGGCACATTTGTGCGGCGATGTGTGTCAAGTGTTCTTTGTCTTGTCCGCAGCAGAGCAGGGGTGTCGCAGCTTCGCCAATGATTCCACTACGACTGCACGTGCATTTTGCTTTGCTAAAAGGGTATGGTGATCCTCTTCAACTTTGAAACAATATATGAACACAGTATCCTTTCTCTGGCATGCAAACTGCTGACTTGTCCCGTATGGTATATAATGTTGCTGGCTGGCTTTGGCTTGAAGGACATCCGGCGTCGCTTGACCGCAAAATACGCCCCATTGTGCGCACGAAGGGTGGCGAGATTCAACTTGTTGAATCATTTGACAGCTCTGTCAGGTATCATTGAGATTATGAGCATTGTTTTTCCACTTGCAAACCCAGCTACATTCCTTTCTGCCTTGAAGTCAACTTGCAACTTCAACTATGCACAGTTCTCCGCCTGTTCATCACCGTTCGAGTGTGGCTCAAGTCCAGGGCTCCGAGACCCCGAAGTGTCGGGGCCCGGGGCGCCCGGGGCCTGGGGGCGCCATGGCGGGGTCACTCCATGGTGATGTGGCATCGGCCATTGGCAAGCAGGTTGAGCAGATGATCCTTCAGGCCAAGAAGGACTCTGAGCAACGTGTAAGGCATGAGCTCAATGTCGCTCGCTCTCAACTACAGCAGATGGAGACACACATCACCGAGTTGTCCCAGCGCCTAGAGCGCTGTGGGCGACCGAATAGCGCAGGCTCCCCAGATCCTTCTGTGACCGTTGACCGTGCCTTTCTAAGTCAAAAGATCAAACAGTTAGAGCAGAAATGGGGTTCAGAGGTGAAAGCTCTGAAGCAGGACCTGCACCGAACGATCCTAGCTCACAACCACAATTCGGACCTGATGCGACACCATCGCGATGCCCTTGACGAGGCTCGACGAAAGCTTGATGCGCAACCCGCACCAAAGGCTGAGCAGGTGGATTTACAAATCGAGAAGGTGGATCGCATGCTGCGTGCCGGAGCCGCGAAGCAACGTGCCTTGGATGCCTTGACGGAGCGGCTCTTGCAGCTCGAGCAGCAGGCCAATTCACTCTTTCCGACTGTGGCTGTGCCACCGGTGGGGCCACCTGGCTTAAGTGCACCGGGCTTGGGAGCTGCACCGAAGAAAGGTAAGGAAGACCGAGGGGACCTGCCCAGCCAAGAAGAAGTGCGTGCAATGCTTGAAAAGGCTGCTCGTGGTGAGGGTGCTAGTAGTTTCAATGCAGAGGCTCCTGTGTTCATTCCGCGCTCCGCCGTGGATCTGGACTCACCAGGCAATGCGGCTGCGGAGGACGCGGAGGCCGAGGCGCCTGAGGAGGAATCTGCTGAAGTGCAAGAGGAACCAGAGGTCTCAGGGCCAGAGCAACTGGTAGAAGCTGAGGCGGCTGAGGTGGAGGAAGTGACAGATGAACCAGTGAAGTCGGCAGATGCAAAGGTGACAGAGTGAGGTTGCACCTGCGCTGCGGTTGCAGCAAGCAGCTGCTGTTGACACTTGCCCATTGGTGGACAAAAAGGGAAGAAGGGGCTTCAACTTGCCAGCAAGTAGCTAGAAGCTACTAGAGGCCATCGCTACTAGTAACAAGAAGCTACTAGTAACAAGGTGCAAGTATTTGTACAATTTGACATCCAAATGCAGCTGACTCTTAAGACCTTGGCTCCAGGTACTTGGACATTGAGGATCAAGGCGGTTAAATTTGCACAGAATATAGATGAATAGTATTGAATAATGAAGAAGGCATATAGTAATATAGTATTATATCTATTATATAAGGCGCTTGTCATGCATTGACGAGTGCACACCAACCAAAAGCCTGGCACTTTGTTTTGATCCGTTGGGCTGATCGCTGCAAGCAACTTATTGATCGTCAAATATTGCTGGACACATGGGAAGAGTACTTGCCAACTTGCCTGATCTTTGAGGCAACTCCTGTGGCGCTTCAAAGGTCTGGGCCCTTTGTGGGAGGGCAGCTCCAGGGCGAGTTATTTGTTTCCCCAAAGAAACAAAGTAGAGAGCTGGGCCAAAGATGCGTGGACTTCTCGGTGTTACAACCGATGTGGGGCAAACAAAGAATCAGTGGGGCAACGTGACACTATGTGGCAACAAAGACCAATGCTTGCCAATCTCATTTCGCCCAGGTGGCAATCGTCATGGTGAGCGCGGCTTTCAGCCACTGAGTTTGCATTTTGGTAACATTTGGCACAGTTTCTGACCAAGGGCCAGCAAACAGACTCTTTGCTGTCCTTGCATGCAACATTTCTGCAAAATCAAGTATTAATTCGTATTCATTAGTCAGAGGCAAACGGAAGAGTAGTGCACAGAAAGGGTTTTGCAAAAACCTATCCTACCAACATCGTGGAAGGCGCGGGACATTCGTAGAACCCGGGACTATTCATGGACATTTCGTGGAATGGTGCGCAAGTAGGAGAACTGACTGCAACAAAATCGCAGAAACCTTCGCAGAACTTTGTGGAAGGTACTTTTGATGCACTAACTTCGTATGAGCGATTTTTGCTGACCCCGTTTCTCCACACACCATCCATTTAGCCTTCAATTAGTGTTGATGGTGGGAGAACATGGGAGAACATGAGGCAACAAGACCCGCATCAACCGTCAGCGAGAAGTTCAAGCCTTGCTGCGTGAGGTAGCCCAGACCCTTATCACTAAGGAATTGCAGGTGTGAATTTAATGCCAAGTGGTGGCGCAGGGGATCATAGAGAATCTGTTTGAGACGGAGAAGGCAAGTTGACAATGGTGTACGAACATTAGTTCCTGCATTCGTGTCGCTTCGGGCTCTTTCAACTTGAGAATGTCTGGGACTGGACTTTAACAGACAGTCGTCCAAGAGTTTTGTTTTACCGGTAGGGGACGGAGGGGTAGGCCGGTAGTAGAGGAGTTAGCTGAATAATTTTGCCTCAAACTCTATGTGTGGTCCTTGCTCCTAGTAGCGATGATAGCGATGCCCTTGTTACTAGTAGCTGCTTGTTCCTAGTTCCCCTAGTAGCGTTCTTGCTCCTAGTAGCGATGCCAGGAGCCCCTAGTAGCGTCCTTGCTCCTAGTTGAGTTGCCGGAGGTCAACAGACGTTTGGGATACCCGCGCACACCCGACACCCGAACAATGGTGCTGTCTGAGGAGAAGATTTGGATTCTGGACGCCTCCATGCCTTGTCACTTCGGCTCAACACTCCGGAGGACGAGCTTGTTTTCTATAGATTAGAATAAATCCATCAGGTGATATCCAAGGGATTCAAAGGACTGGTGAGTTGATATTATGCCAGCATCTACCCATTCAGGAATATATAGTGTGCGTTGCTTCAATTTCACTACTCTGAAGCCGAGTGATATGCAGGAGTACCAAAAGCTCTTACAGAATCAAGGCAAGTGAGGTTTGCAAGCATTGCAGCTGAAGCCAACTCACTCCTTGTGGAGGTTGAGTCAGATTGGTTTGGCCATGGTAGTGCTTAGGGGCTTAGCTGCGGCAGACACAGCAATGCAGCTGATGGTGGTCAAAAGGCTGCTTGAGCCACGAGAATCCAAGGAACAAGCATAAGGAGTGCACCATGGGGCAGGGATTGCCCAGCATTGCCCAAAAACGCCACTGCTCGACACTCATGCAGTTTAGACAGGTCATCCCCAATTCTGTGACTCATGTGGCAGGGGATTCCTCAGATTCCTCATCAAGGTTGCTTATCTACAAGGGCAAACCAGATTTGTCAGCAATTCCCTGCATTCCAACAGAAGGATTCAAGTCAGTCAAAGCTTTTGCCATCAAATGTCCAAGCAAGACACCATAGGTTCTTGGGCAAGGCACCTTGGAGCAGTGGCCAGAGATGCCTGTGACCTTCTCATACTGCGTTCCGGAGATGGAGCAAAATAAACGCCCGCTTATTGTAGGTCGAGCTGTGATGTTATCAAAATAGGTTCAAGAGTAGGTGAAGAAAGAAGCTACTACTGCTACTTGTTGGATTGCTTTTTCTGCTTGAAGTCTTCCTTAAAATCTCCCTGACCCCCTAAGCCAAGCTCCAATCCATGTGTGATTTTTTTGAGAACAGTTGCAGTCACGCAGCTCTTAGCAGCATCTTGTGCCGCACATGTCGACAGAAAATGTAGAAGGGTGTTTCAATGCCATGCCTGATTGGAGGTTCTTTACCCTGACGAGCTGGAAGATGGCTGGCAGATGTTCTTCACAGAAGAAGGCCTGAACTGTATACTGTATACTGTAACTTCTCTACCTCAAGAACTATTCATGCAAGGACGCTACTTGGGGCTCCTGGCATCGCTATTAGGAGCAAGGACGCTACTAGGACCCGGTTCTCTATGACTTAAAGAGCCTTGTAGGTCTGGTCGTTCCTTGGGTATTTTGCTGCAACTTGACTGCCTCAAGGCCAGAGGTGGTTCTGGCAAGAGGCCACTGGCCGATACTTTTTTGAGGCAGGGAAGTGTACAGCGTGTGCGTACTTTACAGCTGATATTCTTCTTCTTTATGTTCATTAGCTTCTTCTGGCAGTACTTTCTGCGATTTTAACAATGCGTGCATTTCCTGATTTTGCTGCAGTTCTTTACATCAGCCTTCGGAGGCAAGGGAAGAGTCTGTAGAATGGGTCAGTTCGCTCACCTTTGAAGGAATTGTCGACCGAGGAGTGAGCCTTTAGCAAACTGCATAACAGCAGTAGACACGGTGCAACAGCAAAACTGTTCCAGCTTTGGTAGGTTGGACACCCTTCCAGCCAGACCAACCGAGATGTCAAGATTTCCTTCTTTGCTATTTGAGAGTGTCAAATGACACAAGATGATGTTCGTTTGGTAGTTCGGTCACGATCACGAATAGGCTTAAACTCATGAACTGGTGTCAGTTCCCAATGCAAGGGTGCATGTGGGTGCATGTCGCAATGCATGAACTTGAAAATTGACATTTGACATCATCTGACCATGTCCACGCATCCGTGGATACGAAGTGGTAACTAGCCACGGCATAGATGACTCGGCGGAATCGAGATGATCTGTAAGACGCGTCAGCGCGGAAACATTCTACGAGCCAAAGATGGTCGCGCAGTAGAAATATGGAAAATGGCTTGCAAGCTGCATGTTTGGCGTTCCCAACACGGCAAGTCAGGTCAAGAAATGCAGGTACAGTAGAGAAGGTCAATTACATTTTAACAGTTGCAACTGCCAAACCTCATGATTTGGTACTTTAAGTATCCCAAGACTTCGTATGCCATGACAGCGAAACCATCACCGTTTACCGTTTACCTCTACTTGCATGCCCTCCGAGGACAAGCTCAACAACCCCTTGGCAACAAAATGATGAATAGAATAATATAATATAATAGAAATGACAACTTTATGTTTATTACTTTATATAGTGCTGGAGGCTGTTTGTGAAGATTGTCGTCGAACCATGGTGGGCTCCTCTCAATCCCTGCACCTCAACTCTTCAGTTTTGCAATGTCATCCCCGTCAAATTGAAACTGTCATCACTAAGCTCACCACCACCTCGGCCGACCTTGGCCTTTGGCTCTCTTTTGTATCCTCCCCCGTTGTTGATCCTATGTTATTTGATTGATCACTTGAGGTCCAGGATGGTCCAGGTGCATGCCACATGGCATGCAGTCACCGACGTGAAGACCGCTTTGTTTCAACCCATACCGGCTCCATGTGAAGACCGCTGGCTCTGAAGCCGCGACGTAGGCCCCTTTTCGGAGCACAGAGATGGATGATCAGCACATCTATAAAGGTTAACACATATGTTCATACTAGTACATTACTTAAGCAGATATGTTGGAGATTCTATTGAATGCTTGACCTCCATACCTTTCTACCTTCGATTTTGAGAACAAGTCTCTGTGCTTCGGGCATATTCAATCTCTCACTTCCTTCAACTGCTCACACAACATGGCCATTGTCACACTTCGACACCTGATGGATCGCCTTTGCCCAAGTGTGCCTCAAGTGTATATAGATGAAACATGTCTGTAGGGCCTCCCCCTAATAGTAATAGGAATGGCCTCCAACTTACTAGCGATGGCCTCCAACCTAAGAGCAATGGCCTCCAACCTAATAGCCATGGCCGCCATCTAAATGCAAACAAATCGGCTCAGAGACTGCCTTCAAGTGTGCCCAGAAGACGTAGCACCTGAAACAAAGATGCCTTTGCTTTGTCAAATGCACCAATCAATCCTGAATGCTGGGAGAAGTCTTAGGTAGATTCTAGGCAAATTCATTTTTTTTCCAGTCGTCCAGTTGTGGCATCTACTCTGGGTTACAGACTGATCCCACCACCAACAAGCAACATGACGAGGGATTCCCCCAGCATGCCCTTCTGTGGAAACAGGCAAAGCAGTGTCATTCCCGAGCAGGTCAATGCATTCAATAGAAATGAGTATAGCACACCTTGTGCTGAGGTTGGGATGACGGTGATCATGAAATCCTTGAGCTCATGGATCAATTCTGGCAACAAGGCGAGCAAAAACGCTGTCATACGCTGTCTTTACATCCCGCATCATCTCATATCGCTTCAGCAGATAAATGTGCAGGTTTGCACCTGGTCGAGGATGAAGGTGCGCAAGAGGCAATTGCTGCCTCATTGCTACAAGATGTGCGTCGATGGCTTGGCTTGAAAGTCAATGAGAGGCAAGGGTTGGGTTCGCACCCCTAGTGGAGAACTCACTGCTTTGGGTGAATATTGCACCTGGTCCACCGGATGTGTCGGAGCCTCCAAGCCGAGGTCGACTCTGCCGTCTTTGCGTGGTGAGCGACGGGACTGAGACTCGCCTTTGGTCGATGGTGTGGTGCTCAAACCAGCCTCGGAGACAAAAAGAACATGGGATGCCATGGGGCTACAGAGATGTTCCATGGAGATGTGCATGGATGTTCATCTTCGCGCTGCTTATGGATTGTTATTGATCGTTTGGAATTAAAGAGGAGTACTGGTATCACGCAGAACGAAGGACTCCTCCAAGAGATTTAAAAAAGACACCGATTGGAAGGAACTGATGCACGATACATTCAAGTTGCTAAGGGACTGCCTGACATGTTCGCTTGGACTACTGCACAATCTCCTCGCAGGTCTTGGCATCAATGACTGGACCTCAAAGGGATCCAGATCACAGGTACGTTGTGGGTGGATTCTTTGCAGTTAACTTGATGTTTCTTGATGTATTGATGGGATTTGTTTGGCACGACCAGCAGTTTGGGATCGCACAGAACCAACTAATTGTCTTTGCACAAGTGATGCCACTTGCCACTTGGAGTCACTTGGTGACTGCTCAAAAATCACCCAAACAAACAAAACTCTCAAGCCAATGCAGCAGGCTGCCTTCGTTGCTTCAACGCATGGTGATCCAAAGCTCTGCCGACGATATGCCTTTGCAAGAGGACATGAAGAGTACACTATGTACACTGAGTGCACTGAGTACACTGCGAAGCTGCTACTGAAGTCCATAGAAGTAGAGACACTTGCAGGGAGAATTAGACTCTAGAATATAAAGCATCCTTCAATATATAGCAGAGCTATCTACTGGTACCACTTGTGCAATACGTGCAGGAGTCCTGAATCACAAGAGTCCAGAGACATTTCTTGTCAGGACCTGGAGGCCGCTTGCGTGCGGCTGCTGGAGAAGTTCCGCACCTTCGTCCGTGGCGTCAAACAGCTGAAAAGTCGGGGCACACGGATTGTCAAGGCATTGAGAGGATTGGCGAGGCCGGCTGTGTTGTATACGTAAGTTTGCATTCTTGTGTATTTGTGTACCTTTTGATACTTTTTGATATTATGTGATATTATGTTGTATGCTTCTTGCGGGCTTGTGCGTAACAGAGAGAAAGGACGGTCGTGATTCTTTTCTGTTTCTTATCGCAGAATATGACAAGCTGTCCATCAAAGACATGTGAAGGTTGATGCCTGAAGTGTGTGGTATTGATTGCACACCTATATGAGCCTGTCATGACAAGTCGTGCAAAAAGCGGAACAACTCAGAGATTCAGGCAAGAGGAGCCGATGCCCTAATAACATCTCGAGTTCTGTAGCCTTGGTTTGTATTCCAGTTGCCTTTTGTGCTTTGTCACAAAACACATGTGTTCCGGAGGGGTGAGTATATACAGTGTAAATCAGTGTATTACATTACATGCATATACAAATGAAGGTCATGGTTGACTCCGGAAAGCAAAGGACAGCCACATGTGACGCACATGCCATCATGATCCATCATGACCAAGACCACAAGTTGCATTGCGACATCCCCGCCATAGAACCACTCTGAAGCACTATAAATCTGCTGGCAGCGAAGGCATTCCAAGCTATGGCTTGCCGTTCGACATGGCTTTGGTCATATTCTCAGCCTAAGTGCATCAGATTTGTAGGAGCTGCATGGTGCACAATGCCTCAGTGTGGTGGCAACCTTTAGCTGCCAACACTGACAGGTGTGAAGCGTTGCTGAGTTGTAGTCTTCAGTGAACAACCCCACAAGTTAATCCTCAGGGTGTGGGGGGAAATGGCAGTGATGTCTTTGGATTTGTTTTGCAGTCCTGCTGATTTATGAGCTTTCCTCCAAGCAACATCAAACGGGACTACTCAAAGGTGGCTGGCATAATGTACTATATAGTACATACTCGTAGACTCGTAGCTTGTCCAACTGTCCTTGTTTTGACGAAGGCAGCTGCACATGGGTGTGGCTTGCTGGTGGGCTTGGAATTGAAGGCGGGCGTGAGACACGACAGCTGGAATTTGTGTAATTTCCTAGAGAAAGGAGAATTCGATGAGAACACAGTTGAGTCTTTGACTGAGCCAGATCATGCATGCAGCAGAGCTAAGAAGGTTGAATAGTGATGTGTGTGTGTGGTGTTGGCCAACCTGAGTCCCACTGGCCATGAGTCCATGAGTAGCCTTACGAGACTACTGTACCCTGCAAGCTTGTGGTCAGTGCACGCGGGACTGGGACACCTTTGAGACATGTGACAGTTCAATCTTGCCGACTTACCTGACATTTGCAGACCAATATATAATGCCGACAGCCTCAGGATCCCTCACTCTTGTCGCTGCTTGGAGAACTGGCTCAGATGTTGGGAGCCACATCTTGTGAAGGCAAGAGACAAGATGCTGACGGAGGATTTGCACAACAATGCACGCCCGCCTCAGGAAATGGAATTACTAAAAGCACGAAACGTTTTAGGAACAAAGCCTTATGGTTTGGCAAAGGGCAAAGGGTTGACCGAGCACTTTGTGATTTCGAAGCTGCGAGCTTGAGGCCTCCCTTCCAAGCAGAGGCTGGCAGCCAAGCATCAACAGCCAAAGCGTCCTTGCTACTTGTTCCTAGCAGTAATGCCAGGAGCCCCTAGTAGCGTCCTTGCTCCTAGTAGCGATGCCCTTTACTCCCAGTAGCATCGTTGCTCCGAGAATGTTTGAGAGCTTTACACTCGAGGCATCCGGAGCATCTGGAGCGAGAACAGACCTGGAGGCTGTGGTGTATTTTTCTTTTCTGGTCCCCTGCCAAGCAGTTCAAGGTTCCAGCCATTTGAACTGGCTATTCGAGGTGGTTGATTTCTGAACTTGGCCCAAAAGCTAAATGTTCATCTCTGTATATATATGAATCTGTCTCGAGCGTGCACATCCTCACTAATTAGAGCGCAGTTTCTTGAGTCAGCAGAAACACACAGCAAGGTATCCAGGGACTGGGCTTCCCTAACAGGACGCTTTGTTAATTCTCATGGACATCTCGGACATCTAGTGTTTTCACATGGTCACATGGAGCAAACTTTAATCTCTTTGTCTCACTACATACTGGCCGCTCGTGCTTCAAACATAAGCT